CGGAGGAGGAACCCAAGTTCAAGTTCAAGCTGGGCTTTGTAGGAACCCGTGTCTGCTAACTCCATGCTCTCTTATACCCAGAGTGCTTTTCCCATTGAGTGACACTGGGAGCTAGTGGGGGGTTGGGTTCCAAATTATGTGCAATGTAAATATTATGTGTGGTCATAATTACCCTGGAAAACCTATTAATCGCCTTGAAAATTGATCATCCAGGGCAGAATGCACTGCGTGTACTGTGATAGATACAGGAGGAGGTCTCTCCTCTGACCTGCCTTAACCAACCAGCTGTAGGAAACGATGCCCTACGTTCGTTTGCAAACAATGAAGATGCCCACAGTCCCCGAAAGCTGAACTCTGAGCTGGATGTTTACAGATTCAGTTTCTACTGTTCCCAACCTTGTTTACGCCGCCGTCCATTCTCTAGTAATTACGTAACGTAATTAATTCTGATGTCAGCGGCCAAGCTTAGCGAGCACAAGGAGAATGAGGACTTCTTTGAAAATGACACTGGTTGGTTTGGGAAAGGAATAAGCTGCAAAAATACAGGAGTGTGTTGAGTTGGAAATGGACAGGAGCTGTAACATTCTAGGGCAAGATAGTAAGAGCTGGACTCTGCTCTGACATCGCCCGTGCCTTCTACTTCGCTAAATGCGGAGACTCCGTGTTCCCGCCCGTCTCCCCAGTTTCACGGCAGGAGTCCGCCCTGTGACCCCACTTCCCTCGCCGAGCCGAGGAGAGTTGTTGAGTTTTCAGTAGGTTCGGCTTTTCACGTGTTGGGACCGAGCAGCCACTGCCAAGCTCTGTCTACACAGAACTGGAAACTGCAGTCTTCCATTCATCATTTCTATACATATTTTTGCTTTACTTTAAAGAGATAGAAACTGAATTCACTGTTGATGCCTTAGAGAGGTGGTTTATGTAAGAAAGGTACATATTGAGCCCATTCTCAAACAGAAAAAAAAAAGAAAAATGCTATGGCTCCACATGAACAGATTGGTGAATTAATCTACATTTGTGAATCTAAGTAAAAGTAAAGTGTGCCTATGTATATGTTTAAAACTCCCTGCTTTAGTTATGTTTTGATTATACAGAGGCCTTATGAATGTGCATTATACAGTAATGTAGACTATCCCATATAATAAAAGGCTAATATGCAAATCAGCCGAATGGCAGAATGATTGGTTGCTATGATGTGCACTGACCACCAGGGGGCAGACGCTCAACGCAGAAGGTCAGTGCGCCAGAAGCTGGGCTCACAGTTGGCAAGTGCAGCGGTGGTGGCAGGAGCCTCTCCTGCCTCCGCAGCAGCACTAAGGATGTCCGACTGCTGGCTTAGGCCCGCTCCCTTGCCCCCCCCGCCCCCCGGGGAATGGGTCAAAGCTATCAGTTGGGCATCCCCCAAGGGCTCCCAGACTGCGAGAGGGCGCAGGTTGGGCTGAGGGACCCCCCTCCCCCGCAGTGCACGAATTTTGTGCACTGGGCCTCTGGTGTAAAATAGGTGGCACTACATGTACTGTTAACACGTTAAGCGCCCAGCCTGTTTTGTCTTCTGGACAGAAAGTATAGTGTCAGTCAGTCACCGGTGACTGACTGGGCGCCTAACATGTTAAAATCATGTTTCCTTCACTCTCTTTTATTGGGATCCATCTGACTTAAGGTATGGGGGGTAAGTGTGGTATAATGTAGCACCACTGTACTCATGAAGCCAGTGAGTCAAGCCTTAACTCTAAACCTGGGTGGATTAGGTAGGTTAGAGCCACCAAGCCGTTCTCACTGCCTCGAGACCCCCAGGGCCTGGGAAGCTGGCTTTGTAGAAATTACAATGAAGATGGGCGAGGAAGTCACCTTCGCGCATCAGAGAGGCAGCAGGGATGTCTGAGAGCCGGGCTGCGGTAGCACAAACCCTGGCTTTTCCCAGTTCTCCGGGGCAAGCCACGTAAGGTCTCCCCGCCCCAGCCTCCCTCCGAGGGGGGTGCCACGAGGATTCTGAGTGACTCAACGGGCAGTCATTAGGACAGCGCCTGGCACGGGCGAACGCCACACACGGGCTAGTGACTGCCTTTACAGTTCTTAGTCATCATTACCATTTATTTTTGCCTCTAATTTGGCATAATCTGAGCGGCCCTTATGCTAAAAGTGTAAAATAAATAACATAGTACATTCCACTTAAAGTCACGGATGCCCACTCCCGTATGAATTAAGAAAGTAAGTTGGACTCTTGATTCTTTTCATAAAAGCCCAGAGGTGGGTGTTTGGGGAGCAGATTGCTTGAGTATCATATGTGGGGGCGGGGGGTAGGTGTCCCCATTTACCTTCCAGGGAGGAGAAAAAGGAACGTTCAAAACTCCAAAAAAAAAAGTTTATTTATAAAATACTGACAAGTTTGACAGGACATGGGACTTCTCATGGTAGATATCTCAAATCAATTGCTTCCTTACCTCTCCTTTAAAAAATAAACCTAACAAGCTATATGACATATAGATATATATTTTTTTTCTTACACATAGACACCTGCCATAATGAGTACTCTCCCCATCATTTTTCATTATATCTTTGAAATAAAAAAAATAAAGATTTGTGTTGGTTTTTGGAGTCTATCTGTGTAACGAAAGGTAACACGTTGAAATGCTTTTGGTTATTCTCACGGAAACCAATGGGGGGGCGGGGCGTAGTGGTCCCCAGAGGGCACCTGTGCTCAGGGTGGTGTCAGGGTTGCACTGGGCAGGACCACACAGAGGCACTGGGGAGCCAGCGGCTGCTGCCCAGGTGGTGCCCCACCCTGCCCTTCCCCCAGGGTGGGCACCTTTTGATGTGCATGGTGGGAAGGTGAGGGAGGCCCCTGCCCAGGGTGGGCTAAGGGGCGGCTCTGGCACCTTTAAAAGCCCTGCCCAGGGAGGTGTGGGCAGACGGAAGGCCTCCGGGCAGCGTTCCCTCTGAATCTGGCAGTGTTGGGGGCAGGACGGGCAGCCTGCGTTTGCAAACTCCCTGGAGCCCCGGGAGGAACTCAGAGCAGCTTTTTGGTTTGTCTTGGCAGTCGGGGTGCAGAGCTGATGTGAACACGGAGGCACGCCAGGAGGGGGAAGGGCAGGGCGGCCCTGGGTGCCATGTGTGGGCTGCTGGGTGCCACACCGGGTTTCCTGGGGTGACGGCCAGGCAGAGTCACAGGTGCCAGGTGTCCTGGCGTGAACCTGCCGCAGGTGGAGTCACAGACAAGGGCCTGGCATCCCCGGCGAACCACAGGCCGGGAGGCTCCCTGTTCCCCAGGGCAGTGCAGCCAGGTGTCGGGACGGGGGCGGGAGCCTCCTCTGCCCCAGCTGATATGTAAACAAGGGCAAAGGGATGTCTGCTCAGGAGCCTGGAGTCCCAGGTTTGGCCAGGGTGGTGGAGGCCACATTTCTGATGGGCGGGGGCGGGGGAGAGGAGAAGGGGGGGCTTTCACCTGGGTCCAGCCTGCCTTCATGGGGTCACCTAGGGGCCTTGGTCTGCACCAACCATGTCAAATTCGCGGCCAAGGCCCGAGGCCTGCTGGCTTTGAGTTTGACATGTCTGGCTCTGCACAGTGTCCTGTCCTCTCAGACGACGGGTCCCGAGTTGGGGTGACTCAGGCTGCCTGTGCCTCACAGCGGAGACAACTTAAGAGGCTCTTGCAAGACCTCCTTGCTAACACACACACGGTATGGGGTCCATGAAAGCCCACAAATGAATGAGAGCAAGCCCTACCAAGCGTCAGCAGACGGGCGAATGAGCCTTAGAATGATGCTCTCTATGTCCATCATGCAGTTG